AATCTGAGCTGCTATCCATTACTCCACCGTGCTATAAGTGTGCATGTGTGTGTGTGTGCGCGTGCTCGTGCGCACATGTGAGCGCGATGGGTAAATTGTCGCCATTATATATTTTTAATTTTGTGTATGTGCATTGTTTGATATTAATTTTGTCAACTGCACACTATAGTAGGGTCAGTTGAGCACTGTCAGTGAGAAAAAGAGCACCATGATGCAATTCATTCTGACAGAAATTTGGAAACATCTTGCTGTACTACATTTCCGAGTGTTTGGGTGTCAATCTGAGGACAATACAGAGGATTCAGAAAGTTGGATGAGTCTAATGCTGATTACGATGGTATGGCAGCTCGGAAACCTCACCCTGATCATTCTGGTAAAAAAGGAACTCCTGAATTTGTTGGTGAAGTCAAGGCCATGATTGACAATGATTCCTCCAAGTCAATCTGGTCCATATCCAGGGATACGGGAGTGACTGAGTTTCTTATCAGGCAGGTAGTGCATGAAGACATTCATTATTTCTCATACAAGATGAGAAAGAGACAAATTTTTATCCCAAGCTATGAAGGGCAAGAGGAAAGACTGCACTACGAAGCTTTTGAACAAACTCAAGCATCCCCTCCAACTGAACATGCTTTGGTTTTTCTCAGACAAGAAAGATTTCTGCCAGGATAAGACGGTGAACACACAGAACAACCGTTGACTTGCCGTGTCCCCAAAAGATGTTCTGAGAGTGATGAAAACTAAATATTCAGTCAACATGATTGCTTGGAATGATCACTAGTGATGGCAACATTTTGCCTCTGTTCATCTTCCCACGGGGCCTCAGAATCAAGACTGAGGCCTACATCGAATACCTTGAGAAGGTTGTGCTGCTCTGGGTCAATAGAGTGGCTGCCGGGAGAACTTATGCCTAGCAACAGGAGTCTGCACCATTCGGCACAAGCAAGAAAACCCAGTCATGGCTGTCAGACAATTTCTGTGACCACACCACCCCTTACATCTGGCCACCTAACTCCACAGACTGCAACCCCTTGATTATTATGTGTGGGGGCACAGTTGAGCTAGAGACCAACAAAGCCCCTTATAACACCAAATATGAACTGAAGGCAAAGATTATGGCAGCATTCACCAACTTAAACAAGGAGACCATCGAGAAGAGTTGCAGGAAATTAAGAAGTCGTCTGGAGGCAATGGTGATTTTTATTGAATAAATTTACTCTTTAATATTTCAAGATATTTTTGTGTAATTTTGGTAAATATATCTGTTAAAATGAGATGTCAATGTTATTTTCATTTTTGCATAATTTAGACGGCAATTTATCCATCGCACCCCATAATGAAAGAAAGGCTTTAATTATAAAGTGTGATTATAATGTGCATTTTAAAAATACAAAACTTTGAAACATGTATTAAAAAATTAAAATGGTTATTGAATAAAAATAATCATTAAATAGCTTCAGCTAAAAATGAAAATTATAAAAATTTAAATTCTTAGTTATTATTTAAATAAAACAAAAGATAATTATTGTTTAATATGTTTATAAATAAAAATTAAATCCATAAAATCTTAAATTCTTAGTTGCTGTTTGAATAAAATCAAAATATAATTTAACGCAACATCGCTGTAATAATAATAATAATAATAATAATAATAATAATAATTATTCCTTGGAAATAAAATTTTTTCTTATTTACAAATTTACATTGTTTGGACTCCTGTTCTTATTTTCATTGTCATATTCACAATATTTCAGCCATTGTATGTTCTGGCCTTCGTCAGGTGATTGGAATTTCGAATCAAATCCTTTATTTTGTCCACTGGGGTAGATTGTTCTAGTTCTATGTGCCATGCCTCTTCCAGGATACCAACTTTCATGTGATTATTCTATTCAGTAACCTTCCCTAGGTTATAACAGTAAGAAATTTTGAAGATAATAATGATTTAGTGATACAAGTCCTACTAATTAACCCATAGCTGGGGGGAGAAGAGGTGAATTCATACCTTTTCCAATGGGTATTTGCACATAAGTGCATATAACAAACCCAACTGGAATTGGAACTCAGCCCTCTGATTTCTCAATCAGAGATACAAACTGCATGGTTGCTAGGACATAACTTGAGATAGCCTTGGCCTGTAAACATGTATAATATTTTTGTCATTGTTGGCATCCATGAACAGAAAAAGGCACTGTGTGTTATTCAAAAAAATAACACTCCTATGCAATCAAACTCAGCAAACGTTTAGTGTTGGCAAGCATTCTTTGACATTGTGTGTACACTGCTAATAATTGCATGTATGTAGTTATGCAAAGGTTTGTTTATAAACGTGGTTGTGGGCATGTGTGTGTTGTGGGAATCAGCACTGAGCATGTAATAGGCATGACATTCTGTTAGTTTACCATGCCAAATAAAAACAGTTCGATTTCGGAGGATCACGTCATATCATCTGGCATCTTTACCTCAGTTAATTTGTCTATCAGTTATACAAGACCATAAACACATTTTGCCTTTTACTCCTGTTAAAGAAAAAAAGATTGGGTGAAAATGAAAGCCTATTTTCTATTGCTTCTGTTGTTGGCTTCCATTACAGCCTATGTGATCGGACAAACTTCAACCACAGAGGTGTCAACAACTAAATTCAAGGCTAAAAGACTAATTGGTAAGATATAACCATTTCTATATTATTATAGACTCAACTTTATGATAGTTATAGTGTTGTGTCCCTTCAGAGCATAGGTGATCATGGCTCTCCACAATTTCCTGTCCTTATTAGCTCTTAATAAATTTTTGTTATTTCTCCCAAACCTTGTCCTGCTATCTATTTACTCAATCCCATTCTTATTCTTCTATCTGCTGTCTTACTTCAGGATATACACGATCATAGCTCTCCACAATTTCTTGTCCTTTGTAACTTTTAATAAATTTTGTTTTCTTGATTTTTCTCCTAAATCATATTCTGCCATCCATTTACTCAAGCCCATTCTTCTTCTTCTCCTATGTGCCGTCTCCCCCCCCCCCAGGATGTAAGCGATTGTGGCTCTCCACAATTTCCTGTCCTTTGTAACTCTTAATAAATTTTGTCTTTTTGTTATTTCTCCTAAACCTTGTTCTACCATCCATTTACTCAAGCTTATATTATAAACAGGGTCACCTTTCTAAAAGGATAAAAAAACAATATTTCTCAATTCTGAAAAATCTTGTGGTTTGAGGAAGATCGACTTCTTCACCACTGTACTGTATCATTTTAGGACATTGACGATCATGGCTCTCCACAATTTCCTATCCTTTATAGCTCTTAATGAATTTTTCATGCATTGTTTTCCTCTGTTCCTTCAATCTGTCCTGTGAGTATCAGATTTTCTAAGCCATATTTCCTCATTATGTGCCCTAGAAATTTCGACTGTCTCTTCCTTAAGTATAAGTTTCCTTTTTATTATCCACCCCCATAAAAAAAAGAAATTATGAAACCCTTTCTTTACTTATTGTTTTAAAACATTCAGTAAAAGGATCAAATGAAACAACTGCAGATCAACATTGTGTGTTTCCATACATCTTCTTCTGTGTGCCATGTTCCTTCAGGACGTGGACGATCATAGCTCTCCACACCTTCCTATCCTTTGTAGCTCTGAGTAATGTTTTCCCTTTTTTCTATTCTTCCCAATTCTTGTTCTGCCATCTAATTACACAAGCATGTTAGGTAGGTTACTTGCTGTTTCCCCCTGTGAGTATCAAATTCTCCAAGACCCCTTTCCTTATTATGTGTCCCTTTCTGAATTTAAGTATAAGTGTCCTTTTTGTTCAGATTTTCCTTAAAACTTCCTTACTAATCACATTCTCTGTCTATGTCATTCAGTAGCTTCACATCTCCATTACCTTAAGTCTCCTCTTAATCTGTGAGAAAATGGTCTAGCATTCATTGCTGTATTGGCATTGCATAACAGTTCAGCACTATTTTTGTTAAATGAAGGTTAAAGTAATGTTAAAGTTAAAGCATTTCAAAGGAAAAAATATATGATGTTAATTACCTAAATAATTACGAGACAATCCTAATAAAATTCCAGATATTTATAAATCAGGGCAAACACAGATGCTGAAATCCTTAAGGGACAAGAATCATAAAGGCAGCATAGGGTAAAGGTTAGCAAGGCTAATCTAGCTGACCATTACTACTAAGTAGTAAATTTGATCCTCACTGGGTGCCCCATGCAAAATTCTACATTAACTAAAACAAGAAGGGTTGATATGTCATAAAACTAAGCAACAAACAATGATCACGGGGTAAAGGATAGCGAGGCTAGTCTGTTTAACCATTGCTACTGAGTTGTGAGTTTGATCCTTACTGGGTGCTTCATACATAAATTTGATATGAAATAACTCAGGGCTAGTTTGGTGATTATTACTACATAGTAGTGAGATTGATCCTCACTGTGTGCCTCACACAAAAACTTGTTAAATGGAGGTTAAATGATGTAAAGTTACAGTATTTCAAAGGGAAAAAATATGTAATGTTAATTACTGAAATAATTACAAGACAATCCTAATAAAAATTCAAATCTTTATAAATTTGTATGAATCAGGGCAAACGGAGATGCTGAAATCCTCAAGTGATAGGAATTCGAAGGGTATCTTGATATGCAGTAAGGGTTAGCTGACCATTACTACTGAGTAGTGAGTTTTAACCTCACTGGGTGCCCCATAAAGGAATTTGACATTAAATAAGCCAAGGGCTGACATGTCATAAAATCAACCAACCTAACCTTATGGTGATGATCAGAAAATGCTGAACTATTTATAAATTTGTATGAATTGGGGCAAACGCAGATGCTGAAATACTCAAGGGACAGGAATCAGAAGAGTACTGTGGCATGGAATAAAGATTAGCAAGGCTAATCTAGCTGACCATTACTACTGAGTAGTGAGTTTGATACTCACTGGGGGTCCATACAGAAATTTGACATGAAGTTACCCTGCAAGTGTTGACAAGTTGTAAAGGTAACCAGCCTAACCTTATCTATCTATCTATCTATCTATCTATCTATCTATCTATCTCTGCCTGTTCATTTCTATCTCAATCTCACTTTGTTCATATCTTATATATTTATCTATTTTCCCATTCTGGTCTCTCTCTCTCTCTCTATATATATATATATATATATCTCAGTCTGTTCATATCTATCTATCTATCTATCTATCTATCTATCTATCTATATCAGTTCATATCTATGTATCTATCTGTCTACCTATCTCAGTTCATATCTATCTATCTATCTATCTATCTATCTATCTCAGTTCATATCTATCTATCTCAGTTCATATCTATCTATCTATCTATCTATCTATCTCAGTTCATATCTATCTATCTCAGTTCATATCTATCTATCTATCTATCTATCTATCTATCTATCTATCGCAGCCTGTGTCTATCTATCTATCTATCTATCTATCTATCTATCAGCAGTTCAGTGTGGAATAATGTTTAGCAAGGTTAGTTTGACTGGCCATCACTACTGAATAGAGAGTTTGATCCACTCCGAGTGACCCATACAAAATTCAGCTGGCATGTCATGAAACCAACCAAATTAATCAGCAATGAGGTTATTGTTAAAGTTTTTAAGCAGAAGAAAAATAAACGAATTGGCAATTGTTTTTGTAAAGTAAAATGTAAATCTTTTTTTTGTATGATATTGCTAAAAAGCAAGATCATTTCACAATGTAAAATATAATTTTGTGAAATTGAATGATAACTCAACAAAGAGATATTTTTAATTTATTTCAGTAAATTCTTTAAATTTAAGTTGAATATTATTTTGCATTTCATCTTGTTGTAGCATATTTACGGACAATAATGTGTATGTTTCCATTCACATAAATACAGTAGTAAATACTGTATGTTGGTCTGCAGTTGGAGGTTCGTCTCCAGTTGTGTTGGTCAAACTCTAACTCCTGGCAGAGAGGATCCCCAGATGAGGTTATGTCAAAGGGCAGAGTCTCATCTCTGGAAACAGCGACCTGACCCCGTTTAATATGGAATCTACGTGGAATTTTTGGCCGAGACTACAGGCACGAATATCTCACATTAAATTCGGCCTTGTGCCACATCTGACCACCTGGGGCGGTTGGTAGATATCCTGCGGTTGGAGATTCAATATGGAATTCACTTAACTAGCAGTTGACTACTACTACGTACTGCTGACAAATCTTATATGTATTGTTCTTGTCCTAAGTATTATAGTTCATTACCAAATTTTGTGTGATTATTCTATTTAGTAACCTTCCCTAGGTTACAACAGATATATATTTTTTTAAATTTAAGTTCAAGAATATGAATTTGAAAGCTAAAATCTAAATAACAGGGGCATTCACAAAAATGTTAGTATGTTTATGGTGGGCACGGACCTTTATTCATTCCGTGGAATATTTTCGATTTGGAAACCTCGTGCACGTATGATTAAAATGTGTTGACATGAAACTTCTAATAACTTATTTGTAGAACTTTCTCCCACTCAGCCAGTGAAGGTCCTTTGTTGGACTCAGACCTTCCCCAGATTTATGGGAGGTATGGTATACAAATTCTAATTAGTAGAGATAGAAAGGAAAAAAAGATCACGTTCCTCTCTTATACCTAAAGTTGAACAAAGAGCAAACAAATAAGACTACCTCCATGTGGTTTCTCGTTCCCGTCTTCTGGGGTCTTAATGAAGGTGGCTGTCATTAATGTTTGGTGATATGATAGGATATTGGTTACAACTCTTTATACTGAGGTTACCGAGTTGGTAGTTACCTGATTGTTGCATCTCAACTGGTATTTAGGAACTCGAACTCTGGAGCAGCGTCTAGAGAGGCTGCTCTGATTAACAGTCGTATAATATAAGGGTTATTTTAGTTCCATATTGCACATAGAATGGTGTCCCTGCAAACACTTCCAGTGTGCAACCCTAAAGTCACACTATGCTTCAGTCTATGCCAATTCCCAGTCAGCACATTACCTTAGATGACCGGCAACTACTATTATTCTTCGCCTTTCCATTTAAAAAAAAAACATGCCTAAAAACAATAAATGAAATACAACTAAACCTGCTTGCCATAACACACCTAAACCCCTTAACTGTTCTTTCTCCAACATTCGTGGTATTCGTACCAATTTCTGCTGTATGGAACCGTTCCTCTTAGAATGCTTTCCGGACATCCTAGCTCTCTGTGTAACTAATCTGAATTCTTCAATCTCCTTTGATGAATTCTCTGTTCCTGGCTATTTTACTCTCTTTGGGAAAGACTTTAATGTCCACATGCATAACGTTTAGTGTATATGTTTGTGAACATCTTCTACTGGCACGGGAACTCTCCGGACTGTTCTTACATGTACCTGTCTTTCTCAGTCAGCTATCTCTTCCTTTATTGTTTCCCTTTGTCTCCTGGCTGTTGTGTGTTTGATAGAATTTCTGATAGTAGAGCTAAGATCCTCTCTCTTCATCCATCTGTAAATATCTTTGTGTTCGGAAACTTCAATGTCCACCACATCAGATGGCTTACTCACTCTTGAACTTCCAGACTTTGAACTTCTCTATTACGCAGTCTCTCACACAGTAGACTTCCCCGTACATTTCCTCAGTTATTCTGACGGACACGCTTCACTATTTGATCTCTTCTACATTGCAACCCAGACATCTGTCGTGTGGTACAGCTCTGTCCTCTTGGCAATTCCGATCATGCAGTGGTCTCTATAGATATCTCTTTCCGCTCTCACGAGTCACGAACCTCCTATTAACAGAAATTCTTTCTGTTATCAATATACTCATTGGGACTAGTTTCGTGACTTCCTTCGCGATATCCCCTGGAAGAATATTTTAATCACCCTCTTCAGAAATGAGATCTCTTCTTGTGTAAAAGCTGCCATCAAAGTTTTCGTTCCAAGTGAAATCACGATCATCTTGGTTCTTACCTGCTTGTTCAGTTGCTATAGCCCACAAGAATCACATCTTCTGGCTATACCAGAGAGACAGGTGTGATTGTAACAGACAGGTGTGATTGTAACAAATTGTCACTGCTCGTGATGAGTGCAAGTCTGTCCTCAAAGAAGCAAAGTCACTATTTGCTGACAGAATGAGACACTGTATGCCCTCTCACAAATTCGGTTCCAAACAATACTGGTGGCTTTGCAAGAGTGTGTTGAACAAATCAGTCTCTCCTCTCTTCAATCAATTGCAGATAAGGTAGAATGCTTGGCTCGGAATTTCTCTTCCAACCCCACTCTCAACTCATCTGGTGTGCATCTGCTAGATTCCCCCTAGAATGGAGGCTTTACTGAGTGACATACGCTTAACCCCGCCACTGGTTTCTGGCATCATCCCTAAAATACATCCCCACAAGGCTAGCAGTCCGTTCTATAGAAATGTACTCCAGAGCTGGCTCCTGTTCTCTCCAAACTTTACAACAAATACCTCACTGTTTCCTGCTTTCCGATTTGTTGGAAATCCTCCTCCTGTTTTTTGAGAACTCTAGGGAACCCTCTGACCATTATTGTCATATTAGTCTTTTACTTCTTTTTGGCAAAGTATTTAGGGCCCTAATCAATGCCGAACAGGTCCAGCATCTTACTTTGCCCGACCTCATTTAAGACAAACAGTATCGCTCCCAATTCGCCTGGTATACAGTCAACATGTTAATAGCCATCCCTGAAGTTATCTATCAAGCTTTAGATAAGAATGGCGAAGCTTGGGCTGCGGATTTAGGTATCTCGACGGCGTTCGATTGGGTTTAGTATGCTGGCCTACACAAGTTCGAGGGCTACGGTGTCAAGGGACATATATTTGGCTTAATCCAGTCATTCTTAACCAATCGAGTAATGAAGGTCGTATTGAACAAGCACGCTTCCAGATCATTTCATACTAATGCAGGAGGAGTCTCCCATGGCTCTGTCCCGTGACATACGCTGTTTCTGATCTTCATCAATAATCTCCCATGATGTCATCAGCTCCCAATTAGGTAATTATGTAGATGACTCTACTATTTACTCCTGTTTGAGCAGCAAGTCCAAAAGATGCGACAAATTAAACCTAGCAACTACTCTTGAAAAGGACCTCCTCCAATCAGGGGTTAACTGGGGCAAGAAATGACTTGTAAATTTCAACGCCCCCAGAACAAAACTGCTTTTTTTTAATCACCATAGATAACCTTTTTCTGCCTACTGATGCTGAACTCCAAGACAGCAATACTCCATGGCTTCTTGGCTTCACATTTTTCACTGACATGGAGTGGAACAACTATAATGACTCAATTGCTACTTCTGCTATGAGGAAGGTTGGTTCACTGTGTTGCGCCAAAAGATTTTTATCTCATCAGAATCCATCTTGTACATTTATAAATCCACTATTCGTTCGTGTATTGAATACTGTTGCCATATCTGGTCTAGTACTCCTACTCTGCATCTTGAAATTCTTTACAAAATCCAGAAAAGTATCTGCAATACAGTCGATCCTAACCATTCTCACCGACGTGATGTGGCTTCCCTCTGTCTTTTCTACAAATATTTTCATGGCAACTGCTCGGATGAGCTTTTTTCTCTGGTACCCAAACTACATGAATTTAAGCATGCTACTAGATTAACAACTAGGTCTCACCGTTTAACTATTGAACTAGCGAGATGCAAACACCACTTCTATGCTAACAATTTTTTCTTGCACTTCCTACCTGTGGAACTCCCTTCTGGTTTCTTGCTTCCCTGGTAACTACAATCTTCAAAAATCTAAATGCAACGCCAATCGCCATATTCTATCTTCTTGAAACCTGTTCCTTTTTTTGTCCTTTACTCAATCCCCCCATTCTTAGTTTTGTTATTCTCTTTCACTTTCACTCCCTGCGCCACCCCCGGGTTCTAGTGTATTTGTCGCCTTGCTTGGGGTGAAACGATAAAAAACATTTAACTACTATGTGAAATTTAGGTGGCATTGTCAACTTGGTTGGGATGAAACGATAAAAAAGACTCAACCACTACAGGAAATTTACGTGGAATTGTCGTCTTGCTTGAGGTGAAAGGGTAAAAAAAAAAAGACTCAACTACTACACTCACCTAATTTGTACGACGGAATAGGAAAGTCTCAGCATAAAGAGGATTTTGTGATTTAAACTGGTTGTTGTCATGGGGTCTTATGTTTTTTCCATTAAAGAATCGTTCTATTAGAGTCTTTAATTCCTGAGCTGCTTATGTGATGAAAAGAAAAAATCATTTTCCTTTATTTCATTAATTTATTTATTCATGTCCCTTTTTGTAGCGAAATGCGGTTCCCAACATTACACATCTCGCCAAAAGATCTGCTGTGGTGATCAACTTTTGAACAGAACCGGCATTCAACCAGCATGCTGTTCTTCCCGCCAATACGACGCCATGTTTGACGTCTGCTGCAAAGGAAAAATAATTCGCAAGACCAGAGGTGTTCTCAGTTGTTAAATTTACCAATATTGAAATAAAATATAATA